TGATGGAACCGAGTCTTGTTGGGCTAGAATAAACTCATTTTCTCCTCCCATTATTGTTGGTGGTGTTTATCGTCCCCCTAATGCTGACTTGTCGTTTTTAGAAAATTTATACTCACACCTCACGCCCATTGTAAAAAAAAATAAGCACGTTATTATTGCAGGTGACTTTAACCTTCCCAATATTAGCTGGGAAAATCTTTCTCCTTTGAACCACAACTGTACTGATTCTGTCTTGTTAACTGAAATGTCGTTCAATCTAAACCTGTATCAAACCGTCACTACAGCCACACGTGTTCAAGGTTCATCGTCAAATACTCTTGATCTCGTGTTTGTTTCAAGTGATGTCGCGAAGCGCACCTTTTCATGTGAGGTCTCGGAAGGCATCTCAGATCATCGCATTGTTGTTTTTGAATATAATCCCTCTAGTGTAGGCTGTGCTAGTCCTGCTCGTAGGAGCACACGCAGAGTGTACGATATTAAGAACGCGCTCGACGAAAGTGTTATTGACCAATTTGCAATTAAACATGACGTTTTTCTTAGTCTGCACTCTTCGCCAGAAAATAATGTTAACGAAATGTGGTTGTATTTCAAAAACCTAGTTCATGGGTGTTTGAATCTTTATGTGCCTAAAAGAACTCTCCGCTCCAAAAATCATAACAAACCGTGGTTAACGCGTAATATTATTAACTTAAAACGCAGAATTCATAGACTGCGCAAAAATAAACACAATATTCTACTAGGAGAATATACTGACAAGATGAGGAAGCAAAAGCAGGTGTTAAACAATTCTATACGCAAATCCAAGTATACCTTTTTTAACGTCTCACTACCTCGTTTTTTAATAACAGACCCAAGGAAATTCTGGCGATACATTTCTCCCAAGAAGGAACAGCTAGATAAAATAATTGTTGACGGAGTAGACTTAACTGCGGGGAATGAAATGTCCACCGCCTTTAACCAGTACTTTTCCAGTGTGTTTTCGCCAGACAACGGTGTCGAACCGAGCTCGCCAGATTTTCAGTTTGCACAGTCACTGCCTGATATTGCCGTCTCTGAGGAAGGAGTGTTCGCTTCTCTGCTCAGTCTAGATACTAAAAAAAGTTCTGGTCCCGACGATATACCGAATGAATTTTTAATGAGATACGCGGAATGGTGTTCTAAATATTTATACTGTTTATTCGATAAATCGCTACGAGAAGGTTCAGTGCCAGATGATTGGAAATGCGCAAGAGTCGTTCCCATCCACAAATCGGGGAGCACCGATGACACTACTAATTATAGACCAATTTCTTTGCTCTGCACGGTCAACAAACTGCTTGAGCATATAGTACATAATCATATTTCTTCTTTTCTCGAAACAACCAACGTTATTTGTTCTGAACAACATGGATTCAGGCGTAAGCTCTCTACGACTACGCAACTTACGGAAACGGTTCATTATTTTTCGGAAATTATTAACAAAAGGGGGCAAACGGATGTAATATTTTTAGATTTTTCGAAGGCCTTCGACCGTGTGTCACACCCCAAACTTCTTGTAAAACTATCTAAATTATTACCAAATGGCAAAGTGCTTCGGTGGATTAAAGACTACCTATGCAATAGGAAACAGCTTGTTGAGGTAAAGAAGGAACGATCATCATTACTGCCGGTGCATTCAGGTGTTCCCCAGGGATCCGTGTTAGGCCCTCTCCTTTTCCTCGTTTATATAAACGACGTAGTAAAAGATAACATAAACATAAATTTTCGCCTATTTGCCGACGATCTGGTTATATTTTCTGAAATTAAAAATGGCGCAGATCAAGCTAATCTCAATTTGAGCCTGAAAAAAATCAGTGACTGGTGCCAGACATGGCAAATGCAGTTAAACCTTGAAAAATGTGTTTCGATGACAATAACGCGTAAAAAGTCTCCGCTGGTCTTTTCATACAGTTTAAATAACTCTGCTCTGCAACAAGTTTCTTCATTCAAATATCTTGGAGTCACTATATCTTCTGATCTCAGATGGAATGACCACATTGACTCGCTGTGTCAGAAGGCGATGTTCAAACTGTGGTATCTGAAACGTAACTTAAGACACTCTACATCTGCAACAAAATTAATAGCCTACAAATCTCTCATCAGGCCACTTTTAGAATATGCTGACATTATTTGGGATCCACACACATTATCGAACATAAATAAACTCGAAAGAATACAAAAGAGGGCACTAAGATTCATTTACAACAAATACAAAAGATTAGATTCTGTGAGTGCCCTATACAGCATAGCCGGTATCCAGCCCCTCCAAACGCGTAGGAAAATTAACAGACTCACTTTCCTATACACACTGATAAACGATGGGTTTAGAATAGACAGGTCACGCTATGTCACTCTAAAATCTGCGAGAAGCACACGTAGCTACCATGCCTTATCACTTACAGACTATCAATGCCATACCGACTGCTTCAAGTTTTCTTTTTTTCCTAAAACCATTACTGAATGGAATGAGCTGCCTTTTGACATCGTAAACACGACTTCCATCCAATCATTTAAAGCCTCGCTCTTTTCATTATTTAAATAACCTCGAGGCTACTTATTGCTTATTGTTTTGATTTTGTTGTGACTGCCGTCTGTTAGCCAATTTTTCAATGCACTGCTCCTGAAATAGTTTGGCAGCTATATATCTCGAACTAAGTTGTGTTGGTCGTTTGTGTATATAACATCGTTCAATGTCTTGTTCGCTTTCTAGCGTAAATGCTAAAATGTACATGGCAAAGTGTAATGATGCTCACTGTTTCGTTTCATTGTTGTGCAGTATTTCGGTTGTCGGTTTCACGGTTTCTGCTCTTTAATATGTTCGTTGCACTGGCCTTGTCCCATATTGTACGTTTCAGTCATTGTTTAGAAGCCCGTCCTACAACGCCCTCCTTGAGAAGGCAGTAGTATCTGTAAATAAATAAATAAATAAATAAAAAAAGAAGAAGAAAAATTATCAATGTTCTGTGCCTATTGCATTGTTTTATTGCTGTGAAAGTGCGGAATACAAGAATTTTAATGATATTCGTAACGGCTCAGAAACAATCTGTTTGGCGCCCCAACTAGTCTAGGTGGGTCTGGGCGCGATTCTAGCAGAGTCGAAAAAACGTGATATCTAAGTTAGTGCGGCGCTCCTACAGATGTCTGCTTAAAGTTTCATCCATGCATATACAGCAGTGCTCATTCAGTGCTACTGACAAAGCGTTGACTTCACGCTATCATCAGCTCTGTATCTGGGCTCCGCTGCATGGGAACTTACTATGGTTGTGCGAATATTCAAAATTTCGAATAGTAGTTTCGAATAATACACTATTCGATATTCGCTTAGAGCAGAACTGCTTAGACACAAAATGCTGATAGAAACGTCAGCATTGGCAGATGGGTGGACGCACCGTTGAGATGAACTTGTGAACCGGGATTAACTGACACCAGAAAAGAGCAAGCATTTGAACTCTGTAGAACGCTACATGTTTTGTTTTCGGAATGGGCGCAGCAAAGGAAGAACTTTAGTTTTTTTTTTCTGTATTAGATTTAACATTATCTTAATATGCCTCAAGAAATGTTTCTAAACCATTATTTTATTTAGACAATTTTGTGATCAGTTAAAAGGTTCAATATTATCTCTGATGCTCGTAACGCCCCCCCCCCCCCCCCCCCCCCCCCCCAACCCTCCTTTTCGTGCTAGCTGTGATGACTTCGTGATAAAAACATGCTCTCTTTTGAGGTGCATCTTGCACCGGAGGATGGGTATAAGTAAGCTCAACAAAAGAACCTGGCATCGGGCGTCCGCTGGTGCTGTTCCAAGCGCAGCATTTACTGCAAAGAAGCCTTGATTGCCTACAACCAGACTGCTCGTCATAACTACCCCCAGACGACGCTGCGGTTATACTCCGTTTCACCTTCAGTCCGAGCGCAGCGGACGCTAGGAGCCATCTCAGCCAATCCAGCGTTGAGAGAGTGTCGTCGGTGTCGTGTGACCTTCAGCTCCCTGTGGCGCTCTGCGCAACCGGCAGGTCACGCGATTTTCTCCCGGCAGTGGATCGGCTGGGATAGCTCGCGGCGTCCACTGCGCTCGGACTGAAGGTGAAACGGAGTATAGTGTGGCCAAATCCAAGATGAAAGAGGTCGCCTTTGCTTCAAAAGAAAAGCTGCCGCCGATGTCGCCCAAGCCGTGGGGGACCTGAGTGAAGGTGGAAAGTGCCTCGTGAAGAGTAAGAGAGGCTGAAGCGCTGTATTCGGTAACAGCGGGGTTCGGCGTCCCCAGCAAATCCTGTCAGCCTCAAGGAGCTGGTTGATGAGTCACCCAGGACGGCGACTGCGACCAAACAACCAGAGTGCTTCCTCTGCTACGACAATGGACTTGAGACTGAAGCCCGACTGCTCGTGTTCGCTATGAAGCCTTGCCTGAAATTGCTAGCCCAGAGCAGCATGTGGTTTATGGAAGGGAACTTCGAACTCTCTCCCAGGGGATTCCTGCACCTGTACTTCATCCTGGTACCACTAGGAGGGAGCGTTGGGAGCGTTGTCTCCGTTGCTTACGCATTTATGACAAGAAAATCCCAAGAAGCCTACGAAGAGCTTCTCGCGTCCCTCGCTAGAGAATGTGAGTGGCTAGGATTGTCGCCCTCTCCCGACATCGTTATGTGTGAATTCGAAAAAGCGACCATGAACACAGATAACAATAAGCAATGAAAACACTTTTAAAGGGGGGGGGGGGGGGGGGGGGGGGGTTGTGTTAAAACAAAGTTTATACAAATTTTTAAAAAAAGGCTATAACAAAATGTTAGGCTAGGTGGCGCAAGCTGCCGCCTTTTAGAAAGGGTATAGTCATTACTATCCATCCATTCATCCAAAACAAACAAAACAAAGGAACAAAAATCAAAAAGCGCGAACGAAAGAGGTAGTGGCGGTACCTCGTGGTGAGCATTTGTACCTCTCTTTGATTCGTCTTAATTTAATTCAAGAGATGGCGCCACGTAAATGCTAAAATAAACACGATAAAAATTACGTTTCAAATTGCACAAAATGTATTTATTGTAGACTTTAGTTTTTATATAACATTTATGAATAAATTACATAGAATTTGTAACAAGGACATACCTTAAAAGCTTCCACCTCTCTCAGCCATCTAGCTGTAAAGAACTCTGCTTGTGAGAACAACGCCGAAAACGCCTCCTCAACGAAACGAAATGAAAGATGTCATGAACGTCACCATGGCGGCGCGCTTGCTGTCCATTTTACGATCGCCTTATCGTGATTTAAGCACCTTTAGCTTATCGACCTTGTCACGCGAATCCCGCTTATGCCATCTTCGACGTCGCGGACTTCCCTTGACGGAGACTATGAAGCGATCTCAAGTGTCACTTTATTCGACGCCGATATCAACGCGATAGCGTTTCGATTCCAGACCTTCCACCCCCCCAACGGAGTCGGTATGGTGGTTTGATGGTTTCAAAGCGTTCGCGGAACTGTCACTTGAACCCCACTTGACATCGCGTAACATGGCCTCTTCGTCGACTTATCAGTCGCTTACTTCCCTCAACATGAATCCCAATCGCCACACAGAGTCCGACGACAGCACAGAAGAGATGGAACGTCTCGGCTGCGACTGCGTCTTCCTTCGGCGCTTTCGAAGACTTTCGGCCGTCGCACTGTCCCATCCAGCCGCCGTGCTCGTGGTACTAGTCCTTCTAGTCCTTTCGGTAACCTATGAGGTGATCGTGTACCAGGTCGGCCTCACCACGAGCCAGTATTACGTGGTCCTCGCCAAGAAGGACTGGTGGGGTTTCGTCAGCCACACCGCGTTCTGCCTGGGGCTGATCGTCGCCGTCGCCCTCGTCAAAAGCTCCAAGAACTACGTGGCTTGCACGGTGACGGTGCAGTGGCGCCAGCTACTCACGAAGCGCCTCCAGGAACTCTACTTTTCGGGCAGGGTCCAATACAAGGTGAACGTGGTCGAAGGGGCCATCGACAACCCGGACCAGCGGATCACCCAAGACGTGGACAGGCTGTGTCAGAAGCTGAGCGGAATCGTGCCCACCGTCCTCGTATCTCCCTTCACCATCGGCTACTACAGCTACCAGTCGTTCAGCGTCGCCGGAGTCGGGGGACCGCTCGCCGTCTTCATTTACTTCGGGCTCAGCACCATCGTCAACAAGCTCCTCATCGGTCCGGTCGTGCCGAGGGTCTATGAACTCGAGAAGCAGGAGGGACGCTTCCGCTACAAGCACGCTCAGGTCAGGGCCAACTCGGAGTCGGTCGCCTTTCTGGACGGCGAGTACGCGGAGCTGGACAGCACGGAGGGCCTGCTCGCCCGCCTGGTTTCGTCTCAGCAGGCCGTCTACAACAGACAGTTCCCCCTGAACCTCTGTGTCTACTTGTCTGACTATGCCGGAAGCATCATAAGCTTCCTGGTCCTTGCGGTGCCCATCTTCAATGGGACCTACGACGACGTGTCTGCTGCAAATCTGGCCGGAATCATCAGCAAGAACACGTTTGTGACCATGTACCTGATGAGCTGCTTCAGCAACTTGGTGGACCTGTCCAATGCCATCACCACAGTGGCCGGCAACACGCACAGGATCTCTGTGCTGATGGAGCGGATGGAGGCCATCATCGAGGAGGAGGCGCTTGGGGATAGGATGAAGGGGCGGAGCCAAGGGTCAGGCGACGGTACGTTCTCTTCTTTGACAGCCTCCAAGTTTCTTTTGACTTGAGATGAGACTCAAATGTGGCCATCGCTTGCTGAACTGACCACGAGAGTGGCTCTTTCGTTAGGGGTCCACTTCTTTAAGATTTACCTCTGCTTTTTTGCTCAGTGGTCGTGTCTATAAGGTGACCTTATGAGCTCAATCTTGAGATTGTATGATCTCAAGATTGAACAGGATGGCTCCCAAAGTCACCACAGAAGTGAGAAAACGGCGCAAAATGATGACAAACTTCTTGCAACCAATCTCAAAATGATTGTAGCATTTTACTTGGAGAGTCAGTGGCAAAAGGACAGAGCCCATGCCGCCTGCTTCTGCCACGGGCTCCCTCAAATTCTCTTAATATGTGGCACTTCCCATTACTGCATTCAGGGCAGGTTAAGGCTGCTTCACACATTTGTGTCGGTAGCATCCCAGCTGCCAAAACGACCGCAACAACAGAAACACCGGGGCTCAGGGTTGTCTCACGAGGCTGCTTCTTGCATTGCTTGCCACATACTGTGTGGCAGTTTTCTTATGTCATTGGCGTTGTTTCGGTCATCCTGAATGCAAGCGAGGCAACTGTTGCTAACATAATGCATATTGAAGTACTAGCGGCACTACCCCACCCGAAAATACTAGTCCTACCGTAATATCCCTAGAGCCCACCAAAGTTGAAAAAATGCTAGTTTTAGAATCTGTAACCTGCGAAACTTGAGATTGCTGGGAGGGGCAATGAACCAAAAACTTGCTGGCTGAGAAGTTCTTCTCAGCCAGCAACGTTTGTTTATTTCCCGTTGTGGCTAAATAGCACCATTTCTGCTGAGGTCATCATTAACCAGAGCCCTGCTATTACTTGAAATCGGCTATCTTTCTTTGTTTTTGAGAAAAATAGCAAATGTTCTAAAGATAGGGGAGGGTTCCTCTCCGTGGGCATCTCTAGGGATATTGACTATAGTGCAGAGGATGCTAGGCAGGCAGGGCCGGGACGGCGGTGACGCCTCAAAGATGCCTAGGAAGTGCACACAGCCGCCCAGCAATCGCACTAATAATGAATAAGGTCTGTTGCGCTTGATGGAAGGCAACGGCTTTATAGTATATTTAGCTTTATAAAATCACTTACGTAACAAGTAAACATTCTTTCGGCTTTCTTCCCCTCACTTAGTACTGATTTTGCAACTATGCATGTTTCCGTAAAAACTTAACATGAGCCTTTGTTGAGACAAAATGACGGGACGGCTGATATGAACTTCTAAAACGAGACTGTCTGTGCCAAAACTATCTGTTCATTATAGCCTGAACTGTCTTTTACTGCAGAATATGTTATATCGACCATTTTCTACGAAAAACCCATCGCCTGACCATTATACATACAAAGTTATGTAAAGCATATAGGCTGGCAGAAGTCATTATTAAAACACAGACGGGAGTACTCCCGAGGTGCATGCACTTGGGACTGACCGGAAAACACGGACACATTGCGTAAATATTTTATCGCAATGTCTGACAGAGTCGGTTTTCAACCTTGAGCGCACGACACAGCAAATGCTCCGTATGCCTTCCGCAGGGGAAGCGGAACTCTTAATGAAGTTGTCGCTCTCGTCGCGCGAGGTCGTCATCCCAATTTTTTTTCTCTGGCAATGTCTTCTGCCTTTTGGAGCCCTTTTGTGTTCCTTTGTCGAGCGTTTGCCCAACCACCCAAGGTTTGGTGTCTGGAGCGCGTCGTCGACCAGCGTCTTTACCCCATGGATTTCCGCCCGCCACCGTCGTAGAAGTGTAACGTCATCGCCTGCCACGGCCCTGGCGGTGTCGCAGCGGTGGAGGTGGTAAAGGCCTGTTCTGCGGCAGGTCACTTTTTAGTTGACAGCCCACGAAAGCTTCGTTAGCCAGGAGTCGGGACGCCGCAATGACGACCCAGCTGCCTGAATCGCAGCATCCGACAAAGTGACCTTCCAGCTTTCACGAGGTCGTTTGTGACCTTTTGTGGGCCACGTTGGATGCGTGGGTGAAATTAACCGCACCAGTTGGAGACGCTTTTCAGGCTCCCTGCTCGAGGTACCTTAAACGGGCACTTTCACATCAAAAACATATTTTATTTTATTATCTGAAACAATTGAAAATGATGCCGGGACATTACCCTCAAAATTTGAAACGTGGGAATTCAGTATTTCTGAATTTAAAAAAAACAATTTCCAAATGCCGTATTTGAAGTACCCACGCGATCCGCGCCAGTGCAGTGAGTGAAATTTTGCGGTCTCCTGCGACTCGAGTTCCTTTCGGACCTCCGCTCCACGCTGTGAAGCAAAGTGCCATTGCTACCGCGACCCGAAGCAAGGAGGAGGTGAGCAGGCGGGATAGAAGGGTGCCGGCGCGGGAAAAAACCGGTTTCTTCTCCGACTCGCCGATAATCCTCTGCTCGAGCGCCGCCAAGTTTTCCGAGGGAGGATACAAATCCAGGAAGCGACATCACAGCGAAATCTGATTTTTGGTATTTCAAAAAGAAAGGCCGTAGTGCATTCACAATTGTGTTAAAAAACATGTTTCATGATTGCCGTTATTAAATGTTATAGAAATGTTGCCTACAAAGCTTCTAAATTTTCTGATTTTTGACGTCATCGATCAAAAGAAGCAAAAAGGTGAGCGCGGGAGATATAAACGGCAAAAGTAAAAAGGTGCTCGCGCGCGCAAAGAAATTATTTTTCGCGATGAGGTTTTTTTTGCGTGTCTATGACTACAACTTGCATCGTTTCAGACAATAAAAAAGAATACGACCTTCGGTGTGTCAGTGCCCCTTTAAAGGGACACTGACAGGGTCATTAATGCACGCCAAGGTTTTTATTTGTACATGACATATTTGTACATGGCAATTTGTGGCTCGAAATTTGTTTTCTTTCCGCCCGGAAACCGCCGATCGAAAACTGGCTGGTTTGAGTTGCGCTCGCTCTCTTCTCCGTGGTCACGTGCCGTTTTCTATGGTTTAAGCACAACCATCAAAGAGTAAATCAAAGTCGTGGGTCATCAAAGGCACACGCACAATATCAAAAATAGAAAAGAAATAGGATGCCAATTTTTTTGAGTTTCTAAAAAACTGCAAATACGTTGATTGAAAGAAAAAAAAAGTTGCATAGCCACGTGACTTCCGCCACCCCTCTCCTCCTCTATGTTACTTCTTCCTCCCCAGTAAAGTTTCGGTATTGAGCAGTTGCGTTTTTTTTACTTTATTAAAAATATATGTGAGACTGTAGCAATATATTGATTGGGTAGTCTTCGGACACCATAATGAATCGCCTGGAAAAAATAAAGAATAAATTTTGGGGGGTGTCAGTGTCTTTTTAACCCTTTAAGTGCCCCTTTTTTTTTTTTTCAGACAGTAACCTAAAAGTGCCATTTTTTTTTATTTAGCAGTTTTATTCCTCTACTAATACAGATTAAATTTCAAAAGTTTATTACGCAAATCAGCGGCGGCGAAAAAATAAATGCCTTAACTAAAACGAGTGCTGCCATCTATGATCAGCGCCGCAAACTACTCGGACGAGCTTAGCTCGTCCGTGGAATTGAGGGCTACGAAAAAATCCACTGGACGAGTTGAGCTTGTCCATGGCATTTTTAGCCAAAGAGTGGCCGGCAAGCTCAGGTCGTCCAATTACTTGAAGGGTTAAAAGGTTCGTGCAACGATAATTGGGTGGGAACGTTTTTTGTTTTACGCGAGCTCACTCCAGCGGGACCCAAGTATATTTATGTGCAACGCTGCTCACCAGGAAGCTTCTTTGTCGCTACATAATGTTAATGAGAAAAGTGGCCATCTTCTTTCAGTCTCTCCTTCGCAAAACTTGATGACGAAGTTGTGGGGATTGCATTCTTGTTTGGTGGGAACAGCGGTAAAGGGCATAGGACCAGGACGAAGAAACACACAGGCAGCGCCCTGTCTGTGTGTTTCTTCGTCCTGGTCCTACGTCTTTTAGCGCTGCTCCCACTAAATAAGTATGTACCTTCTACTAACCCAACAGCTCGCCTTGTTGGGATTGCATTGTCGGTGTTATGGACAATGCGAGTCCCAGAATTTCGCCATCAAGTTTTGCGATCCCCGCAGCGACAATATCTAACGGCGGACACAAGCACCGCACACGCGTTTGATTTTGGCTTGGAGCAATCGACATCTCGACGTGTATTCGGGTAGTGACTCGTGCTCAATCGCCGCAACGACGTAAAATCGGCTCCAAATCGCGAGGCCGACCGAGTCAAGGGTAGAACGCTGCTCTTTTTTTCTCTTATTTTTTGTTGCGACTGCCATTGCATGAAAAAAAGAATCTAGCGCGTGTTTTTAGGGTACGAATCTCTGGAAATAATTCTAAGCGGTATTTATTGAAAGTACAGCAGTGGTTGCATCGCCCCTTTAATTGCAGAGCCGGCGCCGCAGTTTGAGCTGTCCAACGTGTCGTACGGCTCGCCCTACGAGAGCGACGTGCTGGTGGCGGGCCTCAGCCTGAAGGTCACGCCGGACACGAGCCTCTTTGTTACGGGCCAGAGCAACAGCGGCAAGACTTCGCTGCTGCGGATCCTCAAGGGTCTGTGGTCGGTGTCCTCGGGATCGGTGATCCGCAGGCCCAGGGGCAGCCTGTTCCTGCCCCAGGTGCCCTGGTTCGGCACCGGCAGCCTCAGGTCCCAGCTCTACTACCCGTACGACCCGCCCGAGTCCACGCCCGAGCAGGAGGGGGAGATCTGGAGGTAACCTCGCGTCTCTAAGCTGCTGTTAAAGCAGTTTGGTTTTTGTAGGCTGCTTTCTAACCTCTTGACTCAAGAACTGGCCTTTCCCTTCTACGTTACATTACACAAGGAAAGAAAATGGCTTCACTTAAGAAAAGCCGCCATTTTGTTTTAGAAACTTACCTCATCCTTTCCTTTTTTTAGATAAGGAGCAGACGAAGGGCTGCTTCTTTCAGTAAGAAAAGGATGAAAGTATCTGGGGTCTAGATTATTGTACCATTTGGTCTCGGCACCGCTCAACAAATACTCAACGCGGGTATTTTAGCAATTATATTGACATATAAAGTGCTTTAGGAAGCCAAACATCTAAAATTGAGGATGCTGAGCTAAAGGGCACCACATGCGTTTTAACCGTGCATTATGTGCATCGCGTCCTGGTCTGGCGGTGCCACACGATTTGCTCGCATATTTATTTTTTCGCTCAACGCTACCGTTGACTTGAAGAGACGACGAGATGTGGACATGTCTCCAACAGCTACTTGGTTTTATCGTAAGCTCGAGCAACCCAGATGCTACAAGAACAAACATTTCGTTTTGAATGGCACATTCACTTCACGAGTGCGCATGCATAGAGCTGAAAGCATTCATCATGTTCAACATGAGTCAACAGATTAAACGTCGGCTGAGAGGTTCAATTAAGAGGTTAAACGAGTTAAGAGATCCATGATGAGCCAAGATGTCAACCCGTGAAGAGTTTGCAGAAGAGCTAAAATGAAAAAGATGGTTTTATACTTGTTAAAATCATATCACACACTTTCTTTTTTTTTTTAAGGTTGTTTGGGGCGTGATCGCCATATATAGAGGGCTTTCTTAGATGTATGCAAGCAATGCAAAGTGTTCCCTTCCTTGTTGTCCTTCCTTCTCAGTTAATGCTGAAAGCAGCTTGAGACTCGCATTATTTTTTGCCTCGCAAGCTCATTGTGAGGTTGTATTCATCAAGAGACCTTGTTAAGTGCTCCCACACCCTGCTGCTACACGTTTTCTGCATCTTGTTTGCTTGGCCCTGCCATGCTTGGCACCAGCTTACCTGGCACGAACATGTTCGGTGCCGCCACGCTGGCATTCAGTTGCCTTTTCCACATTCACTTCACCTGCGCTGCGAGAGCGGTTGGGGAACACGGAGTAAAATACACACCTTCGGCGTCGGGAAAGCGTCCAATGCTCGTTACACCGAATGATCTTCCTCAACTCAGCGATGCTTGCGACCGCTCATCCACAGTTGGCGTCAGGTTTGCCTGCAGTATGGTACCTTGCTGGAATGACAGTTTCGTGCGTTTTTTTTCCCTCAATTTCTCCAAAAAGACACGCAGTTAAGGGGAAGATGGGGCACTTCTGCATTTGAGAAAAAAAACAGTTGAATTGCATTCATTTGGTTTTTAGAATAGCAGATATCGCAATTATGTTTCGATGTGACGTGCCGGAGAGCCATAAGAGCAATTTTAAAATAGGGCTCAAGCCCCGCCTCCCTAGCCTTGGGCAGCCAAAAAATCCGTTGATGACGTCACGTACAGTGACTGTCTTTCGCATGTTCTCGCATTTGACAGTACTTGCGCAGCAAATGGTTTGGGTATTCGGGTTCAAGGGGTAAAAATACGCTAGAATTCCCTTCTAACTCATTCTTTTCTAGAACCTCCATAGCGTTCCTTTAAATGAGCAGGGGCGTTCGGTAATTTGGCAGACAACGACCAAGTTAAATTTTGGCATTCCTAAACTTACCGTTGATTCTGTGTGCATAATCTAACTGCAAGATCAGACCCCTTAGCAATTTTGCTTCAGGTCAGATGTTGCTTAGAATTCGCCGATGCAAAATAGCGTCAATGCACAGATTGAAATCTCGCTGGTTTGCGCTACGGGGCCCCAAAATCCAACTTTGCACGAGACCGAAATGCACTGCTCAAGCACACCATACCCTCAGCGGACACATTCTTGGCTACATGCACGCAACGCGGACGCTTCTTTCACCGCTGGTGGTGACAGCCATCAAACACACGCTTTGCTTTTTCTTAGTTCGACGTGAGCGCGTTGGTGAAGTTAAATAAAAACAGAAAGAATAAACATAGGGACGGACAGAACAACACCTCTACTGCCCCTATTCCTGCACACTGTTTCAGTAATTAATGACGTAAGAAAAATCACAAATAACTCAAGATGTCGCCATCTTGGAAAGGAAAGGAAGCGTCTAAAGTAGCTACGTCTCTTTCTTAAATTTGTAAAGGAACGAGCAAGGAAACCTTACATTAAAGGAGCCAATATAAGGTAAGGTTGATTCACGATTCGTAAGGGCACCCACTTCTGAAAGGAAAGGCACCGATCTAAGGAAAGGAGGCTTCTTGAATCCGGAATTGAGCATACGGCATCACACAAGGTTGTTACGAAATCATGGTGAAGGCTGATTCACTCACAACTATTGACGACATTATGCCTTAAAGGGCAACTCCGCCTCATTTTTGTTTTCGAAAAAAAACAATGCAGTCCTCTTCAGTTTCACCTAGGAAGACCAGACATCAAATATTATGACCTGGTTCCATCTAAATGTTTATTGAAAGGCCCAGCAAATTTGAAACGTGCCAAGTTAACAAAATCGTCCTTCTCTCGCTGGCGAATCTAGGCACAGTCAATGGTACAGTCGAGGCTACAGCGTTGGCATAGCCAACGTTGAGCTAAACATTATCATCACTGCCCGTCGTCGCTTAGAGGATAGCACAACTGCCCGTACCACGTGGTGGCCGTCATAGTCACGTTTTTGGTGGCCCACGGCCAATGTTGTCCGACAGAGCCGAAGTTTTGGTTTCAATTTGTGCTCTTGTTTAAAGTAAGATTTCTCAAAATATATCCCATTTTTTGTGAGCACATAACGTGCCTTCTATTTGTGCTTTTTAAAGTGAGATCACATATAATCCTTAAATTTTTGGGATTGAACATAGTTGCCCTTTAAAACCTGTCAACATATCCAATGACGAGAGAACACACTGGTGTCCTCCATCAGGTAGCTGTAAAACACTTTCTGAATATTTATTTTTTTTGTTGTTGTTTTGTCGTTTGAAAGACCTTGTACAACATTATAAAGGACCTTTCTCGTGATAGCATTTGATCTGGCAAATACAGCAAAACCTTGGCTCTAGTGAAATGCAGCTCCAAGGCCACCTCGTAGATGGCGTGCCAGTGTTGTCGTAAGAGATTGCAAGAACTCAATCCTGAGCAAACGCAAGCTTGCGAGGGGGCCTTCACGGCCAACTTTCCGTCGCAGGCTCTTCGCCCTCGCCGACCTGGACCACCTGCCCAAGCGTGCCGGCGGCCTGGACACGCCCCTCCAGCCGGCGTGGTTCGAGTCACTGTCCCCTGGCGAGCGGCAGCGCCTGAGCTTCCTGCGCGTCCTCTGCCAGCGGCCAAGGCTCGCTCTCCTCGACGAAGCGACGAGCGCCCTGGACGTCGATTCTCAGGTGCGACTCTACGACGAGTGCCGCAAGCTCGGCATCGCCACGACGACGGTCGGCCACCACGCTTGCCTGGAGCCCCTGCACGAACGCACGCTGGAGCTGAAGGGCGCCGGCTGCGGGGGCGCTTGGGTCGTCGGGGAAAAAGGGCAAGTCACCGCAGGATCCTAGACGCGCCGGAACGGAGGAGGCCAAACAGTGAGGGCGAGCCAAAAGGACCGTTCCAGTGGAAAGACTTTGGGGTTCCACACGTGGATCTATTCGGACTGTGCATCGGAGGAACATGGTACCCGAAGAGAAGAGTGCGGAAGTCAGTGGCTCTTGCGAAAACTCACCGCGGGATTTTAGGCATGTCGGAACAGAAGGAGCCGAGTGATGTGGGCAGGCTAAGAGGACCTTTCCAGTTGAAAATGTTTGTTGTTCCTTGTGTGGATCCTTTTGGACTGTGCTTCGGAGTGTAGCAGTGCCTGAAAAGAAGAATTCAGAAGTCAATAGGGCATGTGAAAAGTCACCATGGGACCTTGTACGTGTTGGAACAAAAGAAGCTGACATGGGCGGGCTAACGGGAATTTCTCCAGCTAAGGGGGCACACTCCCTGGGAATGTCAGCTTTTGAACCGCTCACTCAATCTGCGTGATATTTGCAGGTGGTGTTTGTAGGCATATAGAAGGAGATCATGCAAAGTTTCAGCCCTGAGAACCAGTTTTACGAGGTTCTATACCCCCAGAACGAAGTAAAGAGTAGCTTTGCTTGGAATCTGTTCAGTGATCTGTCGTTGAGAACCGGTGTTGATAACCATATGTTCTTCTGCTGGAATTCATACTGGAATACTTCTTAACAGTTGCTATAACAAAATTTAAAAAAAAGAATATGCATTTTCCAAATAAAACAAAAATTTATGAAAACATTTCTTTTATTAAGTTTTGGAAATTACAATTTTTTATAATAAAGGAACTTGAAAATGCAAAATCTAAGTTCATTGTAACCGGCTCCATAAAATTTCGGTAAATAAATCGTAAATATTAAGTCACTAAATAGTTTAATACTGAAACAATAGTTTTATTAAAGTAAAATTTATGCCAAAAAGTGGAACGAAGAAAAACGCATTCAAAGTACTCTAACCCCTACCTTTTCTTTGGCATCGGTGGACCGAAAATAATTTTAAATAACTATGCATTGTAAACACATAAAGCTTTCTGGGAATACTCTCTAGGTGTTGATAGATGTAAATGTGGCAATTTTCAAAATCAATGCTTTTTGCAGAATTTTTTTTTTTTCTCGGTAGTGTTCTGCCCTTTAGAATGTTTGTCGTTCCATACGTGGATCTTTTTGGACTATTCTTCAGGGTATAGTGCTGCCTGAAAAGAAGAGTACTGAAGTCAGTGTGACATGAAAAGGTCACCGCGGGATCTTAGACATTTTGTAACGGAAGAAGCCAAATGATGTAGGTGGCCAAAGGGACCGTTCCGGTTGAGGAAGTTTGTGGTTCCACGCATGGGTCTATCTGGACTGTACTTTGGGGGTAGCGAGGCCTGAAAAAAGAGAGTGAAAGTCAGTGGGGCACGTAAAGAGAGCAGATTAATGGATGAGTTTGTCTGCTTTTCGAGAAGAAAACTAAAGAGGGATTTTTAGCTAGGCTGAAAATTATTCAGTATGTCTGCCTTTAAGAATGGGTCCAAGGCTCTTCTGGAATGTTGTGGCACATCAGGATGACACTCGTCTTTAAAGGAACATGAAGGGTTACTGCCATCAACGTTTTTTATCTGAATATGCAGAAGGATGGACAAGAGACTGAACATGGACATGCACTTCAGAGAGTGTGTCCGCGTTCGGTTCCTGTCAGTAACTGGTATAGTTACGTTTTTCGCCGCTCTTTTGTAGCCAAGGACTTCGAGTTTGAACATGTTGACTCTCTTATCTGAATTGGTCATCTTTGTATACATCCCTGAATCACGCACAAAGCCAAGGTGTCAATGAGGCGAGGAGATGGCAATTCGCTGCCTGACATGTCCCCACATCTTGGAGGAATTCAAAAGACGGCTGGTCCCAAAGTCGATTTTATGGACCTCTGCAAAGCAGTCTGGATGCAGTTTTTGAATCTTTTCTTATATTTCGTGCATTTTAAACTGAATTGCTAAATGTTCGTGAGAGACTGGCGGGGACGTTTTTAATTATTATGCTCAAAAAGAGAAACTGATGAAACAAACTTCTCTAATCATTCCGTCCGAGTCAGGTGACCTCAACCCTTCCTGATTGATGTTCACCTCAAACAAGCCGACCAAACGATTACTGACACCAGCGTGTGATGTGATGCAAATGCAGCGACAGCATCTGGTGCAAATGCAGCTGAGAATTCACTGTGATCACACATCTATGTCAAGAATGTTCTTGGCGTGCAAGACTTTCCTTGCGGTGCTTCACTGATGGCTCATGTTTTATTATAGCTTTTTGGATATCGGAATTCAGAGGGCATTATTTTGCGTTGCTGTAAGAAACGTAGCATATTTTTTGCAGGAGAAGTTTAGTAAGTCTTGTGTTCTGTTGACGGCTTTGTGAGCATCAAATATTAATTTATGTTCTAGAAATTGCAATGTCGAGATTTTACTGATCAAGTTTGTACGCAGAGAACTTTTCTATATTTAGGTGCTTGCCAGATCTCAGTGGTACGTCGTCAGATATGCAAAAAATCCCAGCATCAGTCCCTTGCTGAGATGAACTTGATGCTCTTTTAAGGTTTGACAACTTTATACATAGTGCAGGTGTGCAAGCCTATAAATTGGTGGGGGCCCACACAAACAGGTGTAAACCTGCAAAACTGAATCACCCATACCCCTATAAAAATAAAAAGAAAAAAGAAAGGCCAATACACCCAAAAATATATTTGTAAGTCATGTCTGGGTTTATATGTACAGGGTTCAGAGGCAGAGCTTTCCAAGTGGTGGTTGTACTTTATAAAAACATATCTTTGCCAGATCGGCCGAACGACTTTCCTACTTTTCGTGAGTACTATTGTCATACGTTTCCGAAGGTGCGTTGAGGCGCAGTGGTTGTACGTCCGAACCAAATGGTAATGCGATGTTTTAGCATTAACGTGTTTAATCCACGATATCTTTTACTAAGTACAAAATATGTTTTTGTATTTGTGGTTCCTTACTCTTTCTGTGACACTACCATGCTGTGCTAGAGACTGAAGCACTGCCGATCGAAGAAGTTTCTATGGCTACCCTAAACAACAAATGCAAGCCTGCAGTCATGCACTTTTTGAACCGTGATGGGTTCTTTTCTTAATACATTGCTCTACCCACTGCAAACAAACTTTGTTGAGGGACCTTACCTTCCATATTGTGGCAATGGCCTTCGTTTACATGTGAAGTGGTAAATAAATTTGCTGTCTTTTTTATATACTGGTGTACTTTGTCCAATTCTAATGGGGAGCCTACTATGGTCATGGATTGGGGTGTATAGCAGGGTCAAAGCTGGGGTGTGCAAACCCACGAGACGCCAACTGTTCCGCTGACTGATGTACTGGTTTTGGCAGGGCTTTCAGAGTAGCTGCCCGCAACGATTTTGGTGCCGTCGAAAGACAAAATATATATGTGCAAACGGGGGATTTTTTTTTTCTTTTTGTTTTTTTTTATCAGCATTTGGGGTTTTGTTTTTTAAAGCCGGATCATTGAAAGGATGATGCACAGGGGTAGCGTAGTGAAATTGCATGAATGGCGTAAGGGTGCTTTTGCGTCTCGTATAATTTGATGCAAAAATCCTGAATATATATATATATAAATATATATATATTTTTTTTCCCGTATAAAGTGACGATATTAGGAGCGGACTATTTTATCTGTGTTGCACTCTAATTATTGCGCTACAGTGAACTCAAATATTAGCACATCCTAATTAGCTTAACATCATTCTCTTTTAAACAAATTAATTGCAGCGTTTGCAAATTTCAGCTTTGTAAAGCGTGTATGTCAATTTATCAGTAAACGTCCGTCTTTTTTTTAAGTGATTTGATTGCTGCGTTATTTGATCTAAAGTATGTACACTGCTACATTGTCATACATTTCACTACAATGAGTGAAATCTGTGCCAAATCTGCCAGGACGAAAGTAAAATGTCAGGACCGCTACGCTGCTGGGTGGTTACGGTAGGCCTGTGCCAACTTTCGAAAATTCAGCTAACCGATTTGAATAACATATATTCGGCAGTGTTGGGTGAAATACATCTAAAAAAGTCTTTAAAACTACAGAGCAACTGAGAGGTGATGTACTTCACTAAAGTAGTAAGTACACTGGGTGCAATGTACTTGGAGCAAATTACTATAAATAGAATGTGCTTTCAAAGTAAAGTACATTTGTCACATTATTTTATGGTGCCCTTTGATTCCCCTATACAGTGATCTTTTAACTGGTATACATTACCCCAGAGTAGTCGGGGTTGCGTCATAATTTTCGGAAATGGCGGCGAATATTGGATAAAGTCAAGTGGCCACACGCTAGTTAAAGAGAGAAATGGCGCCAAGTTTAGAAGTCCCTCAGATTTCCGAATTTCGCGCCACTTGCAACGACTTGGAGCACCCAAGAGGGCTAAGCGTACTAGGAGAGAGCAAGACGGCGACCACGTAGCTTCCACAAGCAATCCTCTCCTGAAGGAGTGTGCTCTACTCCGCCGATTTTTTGAGCTACATAATCAAAAGGCATCATCTGAATGCGGATGGCTTCCTGAATCCGAAAAGCTATCTCGTTCCCCCAGATTCACTCTAGTTAATTAAATAAGCGATGTTTCGTTCGCTGCCGAAACTGAAACATCGTTCTCCCCAGTTTTCCCCACCATCCAAACGTGACGTCACCAGCGGGCAGCGAGGCGCGCGGCCGGCAATCGGGTTAGGGAGGCTACATACGGGACTTAGGCTCCCTAAATCGGGTATGCTCGCGTCCGTCTTTCTCGCGCCTGACAGCGAGAAAATAGGCGTTCGTGTTGTTTGAAGTTGATATTAATATCCAGTTGCATAAAGTATGACATTGGCTTACGTGCTAAAAATTATGAAAAAGTAAAAAAAAAAAAAAAAACATTTTTGCAACTTTTTACGCGCAAGCAGCGGCTCACTAGTTTCCTGAAATCGCTAACAAATCCGTCTTCCTTTTATCAGGAGCTGGCAGTTACGCTGTAAGGCCGAAGAGTCACGCAATACATCGTTTTTGACAAATTATCCAGCACCATGGAGAATGCTCGGAATGCGGGTACAAGTGCCCCACGTGGTTGTGTTACCTGAAGGAACGTGCCATTTGTTTTAGATTTTCTTCAGCAAGGTTACTGTCGCAGACGCAAGCACGTGTAGCTACTTTTGTAGCCATTCTCAGCGTTCGTGCGTGTGGCGCGTACTTTGCTCGCCTTCCAAAGCTGCGAACATGTGCATGTTGGGCTGTGACCTAACACATGTAGACTGGGGTTCTCGTAATCGATGAAATGTGTAGGATGGGATGAACTGCACTCGAGGCCAGATAGCAGGTTACCGTTCATGAAGATCGTGATAAAATGACAATTAAAAGAACTTGAACCACCAAGCCAAACATCAAGGTGCAATGCAAGGCGTATGAAATACGGAAATAGACTATTTATCTTCAAATAAAGAATCTTTGCTCGAAGATACAACAATGCGTAGAGTAGAGCTAAAAAAAAAAAAAATGTGTACCTTTTTTTTTAGTAGATTGCAACGCGCTTAAACACTTATCCACCAGTGCACATGGGAAGGAGGCAATTCTATATAAGATGTTTTAAATTATGTTTTGGATTTTCGGCGCTAGATAATATTTCTCCGCAGTAAAACAAAATAGACGTTTTCACCTCTTCTGCGAGATAATAATGGACAATGGCTCTATCTTATATCAGTGGAGCTCAACTAGAGTGCCTTCATGTTCGCTTTGCCGGATATGAAGGCACCCTAAGCTCAACATCTCCTCCATAAGCCTCTGTAAAACCATACATGAATACGAATATGTCGAAACTCCTGTTTAAACTCAGACTTGAACTTTGTTTAGACGTTTCACTTCTCGTCTTCGACAGATCGGCCGCGTGGGTGGAACTCCGAGTGTAGCCCCAGCTAGGTTCAATGTCAAAAAAAAAAAAAAAAAAAAAAAAAAAAAAAATATATATATATATATATATATATATACAATGCTTATGAAAAAAAAAAAAAAATCCTTGAAACAATCGTTAACAACAAATGTGACCGCCAAATATGCACTATAGTGCTAGAATGTGCACTATTTTTCTCGATATTATTAGCGCTCCTCTTTTGGCGGATGTCGTAGTGGTCACAGCCGGCTTGAGTCTGCGTCCAAATTAACTGTGGCTAATTTAGCTAAACTAAGTTAAAAATCAAAAGGGCAAGCATCATGGAAAAGAAGAGAGGACAGGACAGAGCGCTTAGTCCAACTGAGTGTTCAATGCATTCGCCAAGGAAATGTATGTCTTCCTCGGGGAATGCGTTAAACACTCAGTTGGAGTAAGCGCTTTGTCCTGACCCCTCTTCTTTTCCTTGGTGTTTGCGCTTTTGATTTTCAACATTGAGTCTGCGTTTGCCGCTCTTGAAGCTGTTCCAGCTACAGAACTATACTCAACTCGCAGCACGCGGCTATAATGTATTCCGAGCATAAGTGAGAATGTTTCATGCGACACTAGTTTTCTCGGCACACAGCTCGCCCAAAAGCACCTTCACGTGGCTGGCCCCCGTTGCCTGCAGGGGGGCGCATTTTTTTCTCCGACAAACACGAGAGTAAACGAGCTTTTCCTGGCACTGTTCCTACAAGTCTACCGCGGAGCACAGATTGCTAGCCGTTGCAAAGGAGCTTTCAACCTTGAAGCTGCGAAAAAATAACCTCGATCGCTGGCACCCAGAAAGCCGCTTCACGGCTGCCCTGGTCGTTCGTGCTCCTGCCCGCCGGTGACGTGCACGAATAGGAAAAAGGGATTTTTCATTGTTGCCAGTAGTGAGTAGCCTCCTGGAACCCTCGCTGCCCTCGCGGCCGGCGTAACTTAAAAATGTATTAACTTCACGGGAAAAAAATATTTTGCCTATCAGTTGAGAAATGGTGTTTGATGCAGTCTGCCAAATTCTAGCCAAATCGAAGGCTACAAAAAAAGAAAGAAAAAAAAGAAGAAAACCTGTGACATTAGAGATTGTGGTTTGGAGGTGAAGGGGGAAAAGACAACAAAGAACTTCTCGAAATATTGAAACGTTCTCTGTTGTCCTTTCCTTCGACTTGAAAGTTCCTTGTTTTTTTTTTTCTGCGCCACAGTTTCGGGTGTTACATTATGGATAATTGTCCTCCCCTAAGTAACCTCCTCGCTTGCGCTGACCGAGCGAGAGTTCGCAAAGCTACGGGAAAGGCGCCCCCAGAACAAACGCAGCGACGCGTCGTCTGCTCGCGTTTCTGGCGACAATAGAACATCCCTCCCAGTGTTTCTTCAAAGTTGACAAAGCATCATTTTGTTATACAAACGTAACGAGACCAAATTTAAGGAATGTACTTTGAAGTCGGGACCCGTACTTTCCTCAAAAAGTACCAGTACAAAGAAGAAAAAAAAAAATCTTTAAAATAAGTAAAGTGCAAGTACGTACTCAGAAAATGTACTTAAAGTACAAGATTTTGAAGCCTACTTGAAGTAGTATTTTAAGTACAATGTACGTAAAGTACTTCCCAACGCTGCTATTAGGTTCAAACTTCGCATCGAACACTCAAGGGTCAGGAGTTTATCTCTTTTTCTCGTTATTTAAACGAGAAAAAGCTATAGTTTGCTCTGTTGAGTGCGTTTCTCCCCGGGCAGTGGTGCACTGCGGGGTGTAGGACGATTGCCCCGCGTGCAGAATCCCCGTCGCAAAAGCCTCGCGTCATTAGCCATACGTTTTGAAAACCCCGTGTTTAATTACCCCGTGCCGTGTCCACCCCGTGCCAAAAGCCCCGTGTTCACTGACCCCGTCCCACCCCCTTCGTGCTTCAACAAGTGTTGTCCTATGTATTTAACTGATTCATTGGGGACCTACAAAGGCTATTAGTGAAAGAAACAACAAAATAAGGAGAAAAGAGTCAAAGTACAGGCTAGCTGGTGGAAGTCAACCATTTTGTCGTTTACCCTAAGGCTGGGTTTTTTTTTTTTTTTTTTTTAAGAGCAGAAGTAACAGAAAAAACAGACAGGTCTCAAACTCAGCTACCTGCTGAGTTTGAGACCTGTCTGTTTTTTCTGTTACTTCTGCTCTTCAAAAAAAAAAAAAAAAACAGTCTCAGGGTAAACGACGAAATGGTTAACAAAATAAGGTTCGCTTGAATCACAAAAAAAAAAAAAAAAAAAAAGTTAGATGACGTACAAGTGGCAAATTGCATAAATCTGCCTAACCAGCGATG